TTGGTTCTATCTTTGTTTAAAATTTATAATTTCTTTAATTTTTTCTGTCTTTATCTAATTTGCAGTTACAAATACCACTGCTTGTTTCTGAACTTAAAACTTTATCATGCAGATAAACGTTTGTTTGGACTCATGTTGTTGAAACCCTGTTTCCTCTCCAGCTGTTTTAACTTTGTGAGTGACTGCTGGTAAGAAACAGCCCAAACATTCAGTTTTAGGTCATTTCTTGAGTATGGATGGCTGAACAAATGTTAAATAAGAAGTCACTACAATATGTGATTGTTGTAGCCTATGTTAAACTTATTAGCAAAAAAAAATTCAGAGTTTTCAAATACGTCAAACCTAATTTGTCTCTTATTAAATATGATTTTAATATGAAGTTTAAAATTGTTTAAAACCCTATCTAATCTTATTACTATTTTGACGTAAAACTTTTGAAGATCATTTTATTGTTGGAAATGGTTGCATTTTTGTTCCTATCCAGTATTTTATATTTAAATGTCATATTCAATTAAATTCAACTCAAAGATACTTTATTAATCCCAGGGGGAAATTCAGTTGTTTCAGACCAGACACACAATTCTGAGATCAGACCACATGACAAGAATTGGTGACTGTGGTCGTTCGCAATCGTGACACGAGTCGCGCTACCGTTATAGATCAAGAGGGTTTATGGTGTGTTTTCAGAATGGTTATGAGCCTAATTTATTATTTTTAGTAGTTTATAAATCGAGTGTGTTTATTTTTATCATGAAAAAGAAATAACACATAAAAGCTCCCAGAGTAACACTCCCTTAATCTCCGACAGGATTTCTCCGTTTGGTAGTGACTCATCGATTCCTATAAACGATCTTTGTTCAGTCTCATCGCGAGCTCCTCCGCGCAAACTCCCTGCATCCTCGCGCGAGCATCACTGCGCAGAAGCCCATAGACGCCGAGGCACCGAGTGGACCGACGCAGCTCCGTCAGCGGGCGCATGAAGGCTTCCTCCCCCGGTTTAAGGGCTTGTTTTCGTTGATTCCCCCCGCTGTCGTCGCTCCTCTATGGGTGTGAAGTAAAAGCGGGCGGCAGACAGTCGGGTTCCCCTCCTTCTCTGCTCTCATCTCGGTCAGCATCGCATCCTGTCCCGAACCACAAAATGGCGGACATGATCGAGATGGGACCCGCCTACGGTAAGAACCGGACCCGTTCGGGTTCTTCTCGTTAAATACAGAACAGTTAAAATACTCAAAATCTCATTGACAAGGTTTTCTTTGCGAATTTTCGGTAAAATGGCAGGTGTATGGGGGAAATGCGCCAATGTCATTGTGATAAATCACCCGCAGCCAATAAAAAACATTCACGGTCTGCAAATACCGACTTTTTATTTGATCACAACGTTTTTATTAAACCTGCTTTAATACAGTGTTGTAGTTTTTTTCTGTGTGAGTTTATCCAATCACTACAGCTCTGTTTACGACCCTGCTGGTTGGATTCGGATGATTTAATTCAGAATAAATATTATAAATTCACATGTTTTTGTCATTTTTAGACAGACAATTTAAATCCCCACAAAGAAAATGTTTTTTCTAACCAGTGATGAACAGAATCTATAAAAATAGCTAAAACTGCAGCCTGTCAGACGCCTTAAATCAGCGCGTTCACGCGCTCCTACGCACAGTCTGCCTCGTTTTCGTGCGTGCGCTCGCGTGCCAGTTCGGGTGTGTAAGGGCTGACGTCATGTCTGTTCCCTGCGACAGAAAAACCGACACAGCCGCCTTCAGAAAATCACCATTGTTCAATGTAAATTCAGTGTTATTGCTGTTGACGTCACCATCAACCAGTTTAATCTGAAAACGGATTGGGATTAAACAGGAAGAGGCCTTGTTCAACTCTGACTGTGCAGATCGGCAGCGTGTTTTCTCATCTGTCACATTAAACAAGAAACACCCACTCTTTTTATAATCAGACTTAATAAGAATGAGCAGCAGCTGGAGGGAAAAACAGAAATTAAAATGTTCTTTTATGATAAATCCTGCCTCTCACAGGACCCTGTTCTTGAGCTGGATTATACCTGCTCCTTTAAACTCAAAGGCTCGTGACAAACCTTAAAACCTTTTGAGCTAAACACACATGTTGATGATGAAAAAGCGATCTGTATAGCAGTCGGTTCTGGTCTAAGTTCAGTTCTCATCTGGTCCTGACGTGGCATTGAAGTGGGAAAAGAAACATGTTATTTATCTCATTCTGTTTGGAATCAGCTGGATGCAGAAGGAGTATTTTAAAACGTCTGCGTAGAAGACGAGGTTCTGAAGGTTCTGGTGGAACATCCTGTCCCTGATTGACCTCTGATAACTGGCTGTTAAATAATCAGTTTAAGATGTTTTTATTTATTAAATCCACATAAATATGTGTGCGTGTGTGTGTGTGTGTTTTATCTGAGCTGCAGCTTCTTATCAGATCTTTGATCTTCTAGTAAATAAAATGAAACCTAACTTATTAAACCCGACAGCATCCAGCAGGTTAATGAGCTGAAACTCACCTGTGGAAGAGACCAAGGGCCTCATTCACAAAGCTCACTTAAGCACAAAACAAGTTCTGAAAAATGCGTAAGTCACTTTCTACTCAAACTTTGTGATTTATAAAGAAAAACTTGACTGGAAAAGGTAGCAACTTAAAGCAAACTTTGAACTAAGAATACATATTAGGCTATAACCTGAATAAAAATATGATGGTAATTAGGGCTGCACAATATATCGAAAAATTATCGTCATCGCGATAACAGGACGTGCGATAGGCCCATCGCAAAGCACGTCAAAAACGGCGATAAATGTTTGGTTCAAACATTTCCATCCGTGTCATACATCAACTTTTTGTAAACCAGCTCTGTTTTTTACGGAAGTATTATTTGACCAATCAAATGTAGCCCTTCTGATATGCGGCCAATCAGATGGGTCCGTTCACGTAATACGCCCGCCCCCTACGTAGACCCTTAGGATGGGTGGAACGCAACACCCGAACTGAGTTAGCGACGCCGTTCCCTTGTTCGTCATGCTGGCTCAGACTAACGAACGCACTTTGTGCTGAGGTTTCTGGAATCAGCGCTGCTTTCAAACGTGAACGTGAGTCCGCTCGGTGTCGTTAAGCAGCTGATAATAACCGGGCTGACTCTGACACGTGCCGGTGAACCAACCCATCTCCATGTCGCTAGTGTTCCACCGGGTGGTGATGTTAGCCCCAGGCTCCGGTTAGCTTCCAGGTAAAAGGCTACAGCAGCACTCTCCTCCCAGTCCCACCCTGCTAAAGAGGGCCTGGAAAAGTTCCCCCACACATCAAAGTGATTTTTCATTTATGAGCTTTTATAACCTTGTTAATCAGGATAGTTGATTTGCTGCTGCACATAAACTGTCAGTCAGAAGCTCTGCTAGCCGGTTATCTTAAGAGGAGCTAGTTCAATTTGTTAGCTTGTTAGAATCATAGTTGCAGTTTCATCATCTGAGCTGCTTTTTAAGATCTAGGTAAACTTGTTCAGTTTGGGGTTAAAAACAAACGTTTTCACATATTTTCCATGTAGTTTTTTTTTTGCCAGTTCCTCTTCTGAAAGGTAGACAATTGTTTTTCTCTTTCCCTCAGAAAATCTTAATGTTCTCCTAGTTTGGCCCAGCACAGTTCACTTCCCAATAGCAGCAACAGCCTTATATCATAACCACATAAGTGGAGAAAATGCTCAGTAGCAATGAGAGAATGTGCTGTTGCATTTAAGTGATGTTAACTATTATTTAACATTTAAACTTATTTTCTGATTTTTATTTATTCATTCAGAAAACCCTGGTAAGGGATGTTTTTCTGTATTTGGAGCATCAGAAAAAGTTTTATGGTGGAGGTGATGTTTTAAAGTCACTGAGAAACTGCATGCATGCAGTTTGTTGTTTTGCTGCTAATACAGTAGCAGGTGCAGCTGCATATTTTTGCAATAAAAATGTTATGTTGTAATGGAATTCATGCATTAGTTTTTGTTTGCTTTGAACCCAGAGCAGACGTCACACGCCAGACTACATCAACACTGCATACTTTAGTATTTGTTCATTTATCGTGAGTAATATCAATATCGCAATATTAAGCACTGTTATCGAATATCGCAGGTTTTCCTAATATCGTGCAGCCCTAATGGTAATTGAGTTTCCTCTTGGTGCATAAGTGTCTTACGTGCAAGGCATTTCCTGCCACAAGCCCCTTTAGGTTACTTTAAATGTTCTCCTTAGATCTAGAATGTCTCAGTGATCCTTGAGCAGCACACTGTAGACGTTTCAGATGGCATCAATGTCACCACGTTCCTCTTTGCCTCTGTCGGACCACTTCCTTATGTTTTTTTTTTCAAACTTATTTCTGTGTGGTCGTCGCTCTCCCCACAGCTAGGGATGCACCGATGGATCGGCATTTGATCGTAATCGGCCGATAGCGCCCCTATCGGTTTTGATCGGAATTTTCAAAATAGATCAAAGCAAACCGATCAGGTAGGGTTGTCAAGGTAACCAGTGTAGCGGTAAACCCCGGTAAAAAAAAAAGTTGACAATAATAATAACCGTCTTGTTTTTTAAAAAACTATATTATCTTGGTGGGTTTACCGTGGCTGCGGTGTAGGCGCGGTGACCCTTACCAGCCACCGTATCATCGGCTGAAGTTGCCGGCGGCTCATGCACGCTTTGTTTACAACAAAACTTTCTTGAAGCTAAAGCTGAAATAATGATCAAAGGAGGAGACGGCAGCGCTCAGGAGGACATTTATTATCCCTCAAAGAAGACAAAGTCAGAAGTACAGGCATCTTTTAGATATTTGAAGAATGCCGAGGGAGTTTATAGAAGACGGACGGCTATCCTGTTTGCAGCACGTGCAGAAAAAGTGTTTGTGAAAGGCAGCAATGCTTCAAATCTCATGACACATCTGCGTGACCATCACCCACAACTCTGCAGTCAACGCAAGGCAAGTTAACGTTAGCGTTTTAGCTAAAATGCGTGATCCGAGGATTTGGGTTGAGGGAGAATGCAACGAGTCGCTATATAAAGCAGCAGCAGTGCCGCTACCTGCATATAAACCGGGTCACGGAGACCCCCATACTGAAATGACGCCATGCATTACGGGGCTCCCAGGGGCAGATAAGAGTTGGTCTCTCCCCGAGAATAATTGTGAATTTAACAACGATTACAGCCTGATGACATTTTCCCACATCTGCAAAGCTCACTGGAAGGACACAAACCGAGGATGATATTTTCCTGATATACGGATTGCTCAAGTAAGGGTAAAAAAGTATCTGATTAGAAGGCTACTTGAGTACTGAGTATCATCTGATCTAATATTTTTAAATGATGACATCAAACAGACATAAAATAAGAAGTTATGGGCAAATATTGGTATTTTAAAGACTAAAGGGAAAAAATGTAAAAAAATAAACAACATAATTACAAAATAACACATTTTAGGCAAAATTTAGACACAAACTGAGGACAATATTTCCTGATATACAGGGTTTATTTAATTGTGTGAAAATGTAGCACGTTTAAAAAAAATACCGCGATAATACCGAAAACTGTGGTAATTTTGGTCACAATAACCATGAGGTTAAATTTTCACACCGTGACAACCCTAATACGGACCATTTTAGATTAGGTTACATTTCCTTTATTCCCAGATTATGTAGTTTGTAGCACTCATTATAATGTTGTAGAAAATTTCTGGCCAATCCACATGATCAGTATCGGTGATCAGCATTCTTTGATATCTGTATCGGTGATCGGCAGCAAAAAACCTGATCGGTGCATCCCTACCCACAGCCACACACAAGTAATCTCTGCAACGACATGGTGTCTTTCGAAAGCTATAAAATATTCCCTCTGCCTCTACATCACTCACACACACCTTGATTTCAGTTTTTTAATCAACCATTTATGGCAGAACGCAGGTGTGTGAGAGGCAGGAGATGATCTGAAAACACCTGAGTATGTGTTGAGGACAGGTGTGGTTCATAAAGCAGGGATTGTGTGGAGCTGTGTACTCTACGCAGTGTTTTATAGGTCGGAAAATGTGTTTGCTTAAAGGTGTGACTTGTAGGAAAGACATCCTGTGGTCAAATGTGGTTACTGCCGCCCCTTATATAAGCAAACCTTTTATTCTCTCACTGCTGTTCCGTGAGTTTTGCGGCTGTTTCCTGTTACGGATCAGCAGCAGAATGTTCTAGAAGACAAGCAAAAATGAGTCATTCACATAATAATTGATAAGTTGATAAATACATTGTCATTCTGGTGTCAGCACTTGGGTGTTTTACGGTAGGGAGCACTTACTACACTTATTACGGTAGTCTGTCTCTGGCATTACATGGAGTGTGGTTGTTTGGCATCTCTCTGTAAGCTTACTGTTATAATTCTTAGCAACTCATTAAAGGAAGTGAAGTGCCACGATTGACTCATTATTCACTTCAAACACATTTTACTGTAATATTGAGTTTTGTTTACTGAAAAAGTAGCTTAGGGTATTTTTAGAGACGACTACTTATTTCTAAATCACCATTAGCATTGTTAGCGCAACGTTAGCCTCTAGCCTGCTTCACCGATATAGGGCTTGGGATCACAAATTACTACTCGTAGCATTCTGGGATGTGCGCAGGCATGTTAATGGCCTTAGGAGTGTAAACAAACCATAAAAACAACAGTATGTTGCAGAGAAGAAGCTAAAACAATTTCAAATTTAAAAAATGTAGATTTCATAAATTCAAAAGCCTGAATGCAGGGATGAGATCTGGTTTCATGGGGCTCTTAAAACTAACCCTAACTCTTTAAACTCATTCTTTTATTCAAAACTCCTAGTTGAAAGTTTAAAATGAAGTATTAGATATTACATTTCTATTAGATGTAGTCAAAGATTTCCTGTTGGTTTGTCCACAGACAATTTATGAATTCATTTATTCACTTTATTAAATAGAACCAGAAACTGCTGATGTCTTTAAATACCATTTAGTCTTAATATTTAGATTTTTAAACATTAAATAGTAAAAAACAAGAAGGAACATTTATGTTTATAAAGCATCAGATCACAAACAGTTTATCCTGAATGTAGAACTCCTAACACCCCCACAAACAGCTGATTCTGAGTGTGTGTGTGTGTGTGTGTGTGTGTGTGTGTGTGTGTGTGTGTGTGTGTGTGTGTGTGTGTGAGTGTGTGTGTGTGTGTGTGTGTGTGTGTGTGTGTGTGTGTGTGTGTGTGTTGCTAGGCAGTGAGCTCAGCTGCTTTCAGCTCTTTCCAAAACATGACATCATCTGATGGAGTCGGATTGAAAGCCGGAAACAAAAGGAAGGAGGGATTTAAAATTCCCATGTTCCTCTGGGATTCACATCGGTCCGCGGTTAGAAACGCGCTTCCGTTCTAAGTGCATACACGTGTGTACATTTGTGTAGTTTTACAGGAGTTAAACACCTAAAAGTCAGTTTTAGAGTCAGACTGATGCAAGAACCAGCATTGCTGCATCAGGGTGTCATGGTGGGATGGTTTGGACAACAGTCCTCCTCTGTGTCCCGTAAACAACACCCCCTCCCCCCTTACACACACACACCCACACCCACCACCACCACCATCCTGGTCCTCTCTGAGCTACGTTCCATGGTTCAGATCAGAACACACTCGTGTGTTTCTGAAGCTACGGCCGGTTTTAGAGCTGATCAGCACAGAGTTCTTCTGAAATTACAGAGAATGAACAGTTCTGGGAGAGAACCCAGTTCATCTGGAGCCAGAACATAACCTGTTCATTCTGGTTGTTTGGTGTTTCAGTGGTGATAATTGTGTTTTATAGTCATCGTGTTGTTTCCCCTCATTCATGTGTTCATCATCCCCTCCCAAAGCCACATGAAGCAGAGACGCCCGACCAGTAGACCGAGATCAGATTCTTCATGAATGATGTTTTGCTCCATCAGTAGAGATCTTCCTTTTTCACCTGATCAGGTTGTATCAGAGTTGCTATTAACCCCCCCTCCCTTCTGTTTCAGCCATGTCTCCGGTGCTGGCGGGCTTCCTCGGAGCTGGTGTTCTGGTTCTGGTCGTGGTAATTCTGGTTGTGCTCTGGACTTTTTGTCAGCGTCGCTATCTCCGGGTCACTGGACGCTACAAGTTGCATGGAGACCGTTACTGCGATGCAGAAGACCCCCCCTACAAGTTCATTCACATGCTGAAGGGGATCAGCATTTACCCAGAATCCCTCAGCAGCAGTAAGAGGATTGTCCGAGGGATTCGGCGTGCCGAGCGGGATGGAGAAAGGGGCTGCACCACTTCTGGCACCACGGGAAGGGGCATGGTGTTGGTGGACGCTGAGAACAACATCCTGGACGTCCCCGGTCAGCTGCAGATGAGTCACCTGGTTCCCCCCGTGGGGACAGGCCACGCCCACAGCCAAGCCCGGCTGGAGCGGGCGTTACCGGTCCGAGCCGATTACTGCTGCCTGGACAGCAGCTCGGCTAGCAGCAGCCAAACCAGCAGCAAGACCGTATCTCCATTCACACCCGCCTCCTCGGATCCTGAACCTGAACCCAGTCTGGGGTCCATCAGCCTCACCGTCGACTACAATTTCCCCAAGAAGGCCTTGGTGGTGAACATTGTCGGGGCAAGGGGTCTTCCTGCCATAGACGAGCAGGCCGGCAGCTCCGACCCGTATGTGAAGATGACCATCCTTCCTGAGAAGAAGCATCGCGTGAAGACACGTGTGCTGAGGAAGACTCTGGACCCGATCTTTGATGAGACCTTCACCTTCTACGGTGTGGCCTACAGCTCGCTGCCTGAGCTCACGCTGCACTTCTTGGTCCTCAGCTTTGACCGCTTTGCCCGTGATGATGTCATCGGGGAGGCCATGGTGCCACTGAAAGGTGTGGACCCGAGCACTGGTCGGGTCCACCTGAGCCAGCAGATCACCAAGAGGAACATGCAGGTGAGTTCAGACCTCCTTCAGCACCTCAGACTCAACACTTTACATTTTTTCTTTTACTGACATTTTGGGAAAAGGTCAAAGGTCATTTAATTCAGCTAAATGGTGGTCCTGCTGAGATTCAGCGTTGAGTTGGACTCAATAACTCACAATCATCTTGTCAGTGTGGCGCCATGTGAAAACACTCCTCTGCCTGTTTCTGTCTGATTGACTGATGCTTCTGTCAGCTGTTACCATGGCGACTGGTTGGTCCAGACAATCAGCTGCTGTGTTCTGGTTTCATCAGGTTAGTGTCGGCTGGAATCCTGCAAGGTTTAGGCCTCGTTACAGAAGAATGTGTCTGCTGTCCAGCTGGGGCTAAGTCACTAGGCTTCATTGTTTTATCATGCTTCATGTTATCGGTATTGAAGACGCCACAAGTCGTGATCACTTCAGCTCCCCTCACTACTTAACCACCTGATTAAGTCAATAGCCTGATGTAAAAGTCCCCGTACAGGTCAGCCATGTTTGATCTGAGTAAAGTAAGCTTTTATTAGCCAGGCCTTCTGAGTCTCTTCTCTGGTGTCATGCTGCTCATCCTGGTCCTCTACTGGCTCCTGTTGGTCAGCGAGGACCAACTGACTCTCAGGAAACGTCCCATGAACATCTTGGTGTTTGTTTTTATTCAAAAGAAAAGATGCGGCAGCTGTGAGTTTATGGTGTCTAAAAGTTCTGAGAGAGAAACTAACAAAAGAAAACAGGCCCAACTCACTTACTCCTGGTTCTGTTTCAGTGTGAGAGTCGTGGAGAGCTGCTGGTGTCCCTGTCCTACCAGCCCGTGTCCCATCGTCTCAGCGCTGTGGTTCTGAAGGCCCGACACCTCCCTAAGATGGACATCAGCGGCCTGTCAGCCAGTGAGTAGAACCAGAACCAACTCAGCTCAGGCCCAGGTGAAGGAACTCTGTCAGTATAAGAGACAGAAACCCCAGGTGGACGGTTGCCACCATGATCCTAATCTGACCCACTTCTTTGCGCTTCATCAGCCTTAGAACTGGTCGGAAATCACTAAACTGGTTCCAGATCAGCATCAACTGATCCCAGGAACCTTTTCCATCAACATCAGGTTGAAACGGTCTCTTAGGACTCTTCATTCCTTCTTCTTCTCTCAAACCTTATGTCCTGTGTGGCAGAAAATGACGTCGCATTAAGTTGTGCAGGTGGAATAATGTTCAGCTGCCCTCCTGATTTTTTTCTCATTTAATATTCCTTCATCTGATTTCCTGTCCTGATCCCTGCAGTGAGGGGAATTCCCTCCTGGGAACCAAACAAAACCACATCCTGTGAAGCTCAGGGCTCAGACCAGCATATAGAGAACCACTCAGCTAAAGGAGGATGACTCCAGAACGTCTGGTATTTGAGCAGAAAACCTAATGATCTGACACATTCTTCTCCTGCCATCAGATCCGTATGTGAAGGTGAACGTCTTCTATGGCCGTAAGCGCATCGCCAAGAAGAAGACCCACGTGAAAAAGTGCACACTGAACCCGGTCTTCAACGAGTCTTTCATCTACGACATCCCACCAGAACTCCTGCCTGAGATATCTGTGGAGTTCCTGGTGGTCGACTTTGACCGGACCACCAAGAACGAGGTTCTGGGCCGCCTGCTCCTCGGTCTCCACAGCCCGTCGTCCTCTGGCACCTCCCACTGGAGGGAGGTGTGTGAAAACCCCCGCCGGCAGATCTCCAAATGGCACAACCTGAGCGAGTACTGAAGGAGGAGAAGCTTCAGGAACCAGCTGATGGCACCGAGCAGCTGGGACTCCACCAGTGAACCCCCACTGGAAACAAACAGTGTACAGCACATACACACACACACACATACACACACATATACACACACACACACACATACACTCCTGCAGCACACACACTGTTGTGGTGATACTTAAACTCTTCGTCTCTATTATCTCTTTACAAACACGACATTTGCAAGTGTAAGAAGATTCCTGCGGTTCTTTTACTAAACAAAAAACAAACAAACAAACAAGCGGCCCATTTCAGACACTGTCCTCGTGTCTCCTCTGGCTGTGTGTGTGTAGACGGGGGAAGGAATGCTCTCGTATAATTAAAAACTAAAAGTTTACTTAAGAAAAAAGAAAAGATCCCCTCTCGCTGTCGTTGTCATGCACTTCATTGCATGTCTGTCTGAAAAGAAGAAGTAAACCTGAGTGATGATCTGGGAGAAACCTCAGCTCCATAACAACATAACCCAACACTGACTATATCCAGTAGAATTACTCCTCAGTATAAGAACTGGTGCTGACGCCCTCGGACATCCCGCTCTGACGCTTCTCCGCGCTGACTAACCTCCTTCTCAGAAGGTCTTTGATTTAGTCGTCAGCATGCTTCCCGTCTGCAGCGGTCCTGCAGAAACGCGGCGTCCTGATCCAGAACCACAGGAAGTCACAGTCCGTCCCCACATTAGCTCCAACTCTAATGTGGACTCAAACCGGTTCACATCTCCTGATTCCTCCACCTCCGAGTGACGGCGGCTAAAATGTGATGTAAAAGTCTGAAGCAGTGGGCAGATGTGCTGCAGATGTCTTAGAACAAAAAGCTGCTCAGAAAAGTTGACCAAAGCTCCTGAAAACATTCAGCCTTTTTGTTCCTTTTTGTTACTTTTCATCAAGTCCTTTTATAAACACACACACACACACACACACACACACACACACACACACACACACACACACACACACACACACACACACACACACACACATCTCTGATTCTTTATCATTGGGGTTTGATGAACTTTGTAACATTTCTAAAGATGCTTCAAGTCTTTAGAGACATAATCCGTTCAGAAACTGGTGAAGATAAAACATCCTCAAGGTCAAATCCAGGAAATAAAATATCAGATTAACTAAACCATCATGCATCAAAAAGGTAAAATAACCAGTCAGAGAAACTGATAATCTCACATTAATCAGATTGAAATCTAATGTGTGTAAATAATGTTAAATAAATAAGTTTTATTCTTGTAGAAACTTTTAAATTACCAGTGATCAAAATTTATGTTTTATTTATCATGTTTTAAAAATCAGCCTGCTGCAGAGAGGTGTAATCTGATGGTTTCTCATGGTAATCTCAAGATTTGTTTCTGTAATGTGGTCTCTCTCTGTAATCTAAAGATTTCCCTCTGTAATCTGAAAGTTTCTCTCTGTATTCTGATGGTTTCTCATGGTAATCTCAAGATTTCCCTCTGTAGTCTGAAGGTTTCTCTCTGTAATCTGAAAAATTCTCTCTGTAATCTGAAGGTTTCTCTATGTAATCTGAAGGTTTCTCTCTGTAACATGAAGGTTTCTCTGTAATCTGATGGTTTCCCTCTGTAATCGTAAACTTTCCCTTAGATTTTTCAAACTCAACATGACTTGTGTCAAGAGTCTGAGTGTGTCCATCAGAGGGCGCTGCAGAGACAAGTTTCTGAACTAAATCCAGCTCCAATTTGCCCTCAGAGGCCTTAAGAAAACATAAATACTCTGAAAATCATTAAAACCCTTACCTGTAGTGGAATATTCTGGGTTTATTGTTACTCTGCACTCATTTCATTATTCTAAAATATAAAACATCACCTAACAGATAAAAAGGATAAATTCTGCTCAAAATGAGCCATTTTTAACTCTCCAGTAACTGTCTTTAGCAGCTTCACCTCTATTCTTATTTTGTACATTTGGATTCTGGACCAATTCTGACTTTTCTTTGGACTTTTCTTCCACGCAGACTGGATTTATCCATGAGCAGATGGCACTGTGCTGTTGAACTTGTTTTGACCCAACAAGGGAATATTTTGCATCGTGAGTGAAAAGCACATTTGAGTTAATCCACCTTAAACTTGCTGAACTGCTTCCTGTTCTTACAAACAACATTAACTCAATCCAACTAAAGATCCTGCAGAAACGATGACATCATCACAGAGGGGCTGCGGCCTGATCTGGCCTCCCTTGGATCCGGGTGGAGGACTATGACCCGTTTGGGACTGACTGGCTGTAGATTTGTACAGATGTTTGCTGGTTTGTCCTCAGAGCTTTAGTGTGTTTGAGCGCCCCCACCCCCACAACGCTGTAGACCTGGATCCTAACCTCTGTGTCGGGTTTGTTAACACTCAGTGGAAATAAAACCAAGTTAGCTACGATCACCTCGTCTCACAACTCTAATACTTTTAAGTGTTTTGGTAGAACTTCAGTCTTCTGGGAGGTTGAAGAAACAGGATTCACATGATAAGAAAGACAGATACACAAAGAGAGAGAGACATAGTTTAAACTTTTATTATTCAGTCTTTCTTTTAAATTGATTATCACAAATTAGCAGCAAAATAGAAGATTGTATAAGAAAAATGTCAAAGCCAATTAAAAAAAAACTGACAAATATTGCAATTTTGTTTAATTTTTGTTTGGTTGTTTTTACACCAATATCAACCCAAATGCATCTGAACATTTTAAAAGTCAACTTCTGTTACATTAGGCATTGTCCTACCTGTAGAATGTCACGCCACCTTAAGAAAACTTTTCTGGATCAACCAGCTTTTTAACAGCTGTAATTATTCTAAGTCCCAGTTGTAATCTGGTTTGGTCCTGCTTTGACTTTACTCTGGTTCATCCCTTGAGTTATGAGTATTTATGCTACCTGAATGATTCAGAGGTCCAAGGTCAGAAAAACAATGTAAAACCTCACTCTGAAAGACATTCAGAAGGCCCGGAGAATCGATCCAGAACTACTTTAAAGGATTAACCGATAGATTCGGAGTTCTAGACCGGATCAGCAGGAGGAAGTTAAAAGCCAAGTTCTAGCAGAACCAGTCTGATCAAACAGGCTTTGTTGGAACTGATGACTGAATTATATGTTGAGCAACTGAACTTTGGTTGGATGAAACCACCAGAACCAGCATAGTGAATCGGCCTGAGTCACATGAACAATTCTCAGTAACATTCAAACACTACTCCGTTCACCGAGAAGGCGTCCCAGGTCTGCCCTCAGGGATGAGGGAATACATCTGACCCAATCAGGAGTTTCTGGTGAAAAACGACATCATGACCCCAAACGTCTTGGAGCTTTTTCACTATCAGATGGCTGTTTTGTATATCAGGGTTTGCCATCTGATTCATTTTAATCGGTTATAGAGCAGACTGGCAGGTTTGGGGTTCGGGAAGGAGCAGTGGTGACTGTTAGTCTTTTACATCAAATCACACACTTTCAAGAGTTAAATTATAAAAATTAATGTAGAAATCAAACAGGAAGAACACAATGTCCAGAGTAAAATGAAAAAAGTTATAATTAAATAATAACGAGGCTTTAATTGATACCAGATGCTGTTTTTTGGTTACTGGAGCACTCTGAACTTCCTTTAATCCTTCACAGTCTCCAACGCATGTTTCTCAAGGCTTTATTTATACCTGTGGGTATAGCAGATGTTCTGACCACATAACAATCAGATCAAATAATTTTTTCAGTTTCAAGTTTGCTCAGCCTAACCATGACACCATAGACACGTCTGAGGCGGACTTTCTTCTAAAATCAATCAGTTTTGCTTTTGCTTTAGTCAGATTTAGTTTAAAGTAGGATTCCTTACACCAAAAGACAAAATCCTCAACAACTGGTCCATGGTCGCTTTCACCCTCCTTAAGAAGGCTTCAAATAACAGAGTCATCAACATATTTAAGATTTTTCCACCCATCATACTTACCCTGACATGCTTCTATATAAAAAGAACAGCAAAGAGAAAAATGCACCCTTGTGGTGATCCAGTTGACAAACACCTCCGATCGGACAGGTTGCCATTCACTTGCACTCTTTGTGTCCTGTTACTCAGGAAATTTTAAATCCACCCAAGTAAATTGCTGCTCAAATCAAACTGTTCTGCAAGCCGCTTGGTGGTCGAGCAATGGCAGGTATCTCTCCCTGTCACCCCCTGTTGGAGCCCTAGATGTTTGTTTCCCCCAACCCCTTTCCCTCCTCTTTAACCACAGCCAAAAGCTACCCATTTCTGACTCCTCTGCCAGCTCCTTCATGGCTTTTCGGCACCCTACTCCTGTGCATCCCATGTCCCAAAGCAGGTGAACAGTTGAGGACCCTACAAAGCCCCTACATCCCACTTCAACTGGGTGAATGATGGCTTTCCATCCAGCCTCCCTGCATGCCTTCACTAGGTCCGCATACTTGGAATGCTTGTTTTCATTGGCATCCTCCATGCCCTCTTCCCACGGGATTGTAAGCTCCATCAGCAAGATGGTCTTGATTGGCTCTGACCAAATGATCAGATCTGGCTGGAGTGACATCTCTACAATCTCTCTGTGGAAATGGAAGTGCTTCCCCAGATTGACCCTCATGATGGTATTCTCTGGCAACACAAGTTGATCTTCTCTCCAGCCCTTGCAAACAAGATTGGCCGTCACACTGGAGCAGAAGGTCTGCTGTTAGCCTCCTGTCTGTATGTCTCCACATCCTCAGCCAGCTTGCTCAACACCGGATCATGACGCCATCTGTAGCAACCTTGGGAGAATGCTGTCTTGCTTTCCAACAGGATGTGCTAGAGGCTTGTGTTACTGATGCCACAAAGGACATTGTGGTTGTTGTCTGTTTTAGAGAGCGAACATCTACCGAAGACAAATTCCTTGTAAATGTAATTTTATTTGGCCAATAAATCTGAAATCTGAATCTGAAATCTGAAATCTGACATGCTTCCTTGGCCCCGAACCACTGGTGGAGGTTTCTGGGACATAGTAAATTCTTATAGGTCGCTCTTATCAGGAAGCTAAGCCTAGCTTGGGGGATCTTCCAAATGTTCGACTGTGACAGGGACCTTTCTGTGAAGCCTTCCCATGATGTCCAGCCTCCCAGCCGGCTCTGAAACACTATTTTGGTGTTGAGGCGCTCCTGCTGCGTCCTTGTTATTTTTGCCACCACCATAGCTTCCTTGCAGGCCGTAGACCAGAAAAAAGGGGGCTCACTGCTCCCTAGGCCTGCCCGACCCTCCTGGACACTGCCAACCTGCTCACAGTGTTTCAGCCTGCTGATTGCCCTTTCAACCGCTTCCACTTCCTCCGTGTTTGTATCTGGGGGCAAGCTGCTCTCAATAGTTGGTCAGTGTATTCCCTCAGCTCCAGCATCAGCTGTGCCTTTTCCTGCTCATATCCCAGACTGATAGATCTTAATGGCAGCTGCAGTGTGTTTTTGCCAAAGAGGTCTACATTCGACTGGCCTCTTGGCAGTCCCAACCACTTCCTGATTAACGAATTTGCCAACCCATCCACCACTGAGGAAGGGACCTCACACAGCTTTAGAGGCCACAACTGGGCCACATAACCCTTGAAGGCAACCTCAGATTCAGGAGCAACAATGTGGTTTTCGTCCTGGCCGTGGAACACTGGACCAGCTCTATACACACTCCTTGTTCTCTTCCCTTTATGATTCATTATGCTGCCTCACCGCCACTTAGGATTCACTGATTAGTGTTTTTTGTTAGCTTCAAGGGCAACCTGCTGGCTTCATTATCACTTGTAAGTCGCTTTGGACTAATGCGTCTGCTAAATACATAAACATAAACAAAGGGTGGAGCAAAAACACATCTGGGGACTTTGAGCGAACTTGCCATGTTGCATACTTAGGGTTCGAACAGTACTTCAACAGTCATTGATGCCGTTTCACAAGGACAGGAGTACACAAGTTTGGACAAGTATGCATATTGAGAAACGGCCCCTGTCTAAAAGCCACATTTTTATTCTGTATGCATGACTTAGTTGACTTTGTAACTCAAGGTTTATTATTTGGGTATATTCTATCACGCTTACAAGGTAACCACATCCCTACAGAAAGCCATATTTGAGAAGGTTACATTCACTGGGCAGCAGTAGCAGAGCTTTTCTAGTTATTGGAAGGTTGCAGGTTCAATCCCGGATCCAGACAGAATTTTTTTGTTGTTTCGTTGGGTAAGACACCTGCTGGTGGTGGTCGAAGGGACTGGTGGCGCCTGCGCTCGGTAGCCTTACCTCTGTCAGTGCGTCCCAGGGCAGCTGTGGCTACATCGTAGCTCATCACCGTCAGTGTGTGAATGTGTGTATTAGGGCTGAATGATTAACTGCATATGCAATTAAATTGCAATGTGACAAAAGGAGATTTTCTAATTGTCCACCAGCTTCTTCAGACCCTATTGAGGGTGAAGCGGTTCTGATAATCGATGGATTTCATGTTTAATCCGATTCATTCATTGTAAATTTCTGTAGATTTGATTCAAACGTTAAAACAGAAAACTGGAATGAGTGTTTCTTAGAAAGAGAAAATAGGTGGTCAAAACTCATGACAGGAAGTTTTCTTGGTTTCTGCTGGAATGAAGTAGATTCTTAGTGTTAAAACCTGGAATTTGCCTGCTGGAAACAGCATTATCCCACAATGAGGTTTGTGTGAAACGCTGATGGATCTGAACACGTCAGCTTCAACAGTTGGAGCTTTCTTGTCAAAGTTCACTTTAGGAGAAGAGTTTTGAGTTCGTAAGAGTGTTCTGAGAAATGCTTCTTAATATTTACATCAGGATGTTTGCGTGTCTAAATGTTGCAATCATGAATCCCACCTGTAGCAAACCCCTCAAATCTTCTGTGGCTTGAAGGAGCTGCTGAACAGGAAGTTGTGTGTATAGTGGCCCAGAAGTACCAAACATACGAGAAAACAAAAAAAGCCATTGTGTCTTTATTAGAGAATCAGCAACAATGCTTAGAATGATTCTGAAGAACACAAGTCCTGCAGGAGAAACTTCACAAGAATAAATAAAATTGGGAAATTCAGTAAAAAGGATAAGGAAGTTAAAAGCCTGAAATGTCTGTCAGGTCTACTCCAACCAACACCGTGACTGAGTCCAGTCAGAACCTCAAAGAAAAAAGTTGGTGTTTTCAAACATCCTGAAAATCGCTGGGTCATTCTTCTTCGTTCTAGGATGTGTTTACAGGCAATGTGTTCTTTTTTAATCTAAAGTCTCCTGTACAACAATCGCTTATTCTCAGATTTCTTAAATAGGATTAGTACCATCATTAAAAACCTGCCATGTCCAGTTCTAAATGTGTTTACTGCCCCCTGGTGGTGGATCTACATGTGGAAAAGCACATTTTTGTGTAGTTATTACTCTTATATTGTTACTTAATGACATAATAATTGACAAAGGTACTAATCCTGATACTCCACATGGATGCTTTAAGGTCAGAAGTTGTTTGATGTGAATTTGTGACTATGACGTACAAAGGGGTTCTAGAGTGTTAAACCACAACCTTTCTACCCTCTTGTGAGCCGTTGGAGTCGTTAGCCTCTGTTGTGTGTGAGTCGTCGTATTGATTAATACGACTCAACCACAGATCAAAGCTAGCCTGAGCTAATGCTAACTCCAGCCCGATGCTCCAGCCCAATAATGGTAACGCTAGCATGAGCTACTGCGAACAACCTTGTTGGGTGAGACGACAAAAAAGATTGTTGGAGCTCACATATAACATTCTAGGACAGGGGTGGGCAATTATTTTTTCCATGGGGCCACATGAGAAATAGAAAATATTGTGGAGGGCCGCAGGCCAAAAGGCTGAAGTCAATTATGCATAATATTAATGGTATTTCTTTATAAAAAGCAGTAAATACCATTGTTTCTTCAAGCTGGTAAGAGTAGACTATATGTTATAAATGAGCAAAAAGGAAAAAGTGAGGTTGGCTTACAAAAATGTGATTTATTCAAATTTCCCAAGGCAATGGTAAACAAAGTGTGCACATTTGGTTTTTGTTAAACATTTGTGACTTATATTAGTTAACAGTTTCAGTCACATTCACTCCAAAACACATTCTGAGTTTCAAATATTGTTGGAAAGAGGTTCTTAGCATTCTACAGACACACAGTATCGTCTGTAAAATAAAATCACTGAACTGTGATCTTGAGAAAGAGGTTTAAAAAAAGTGTCCCAGTTCACTGCTAGTTGCCTACATTTGTGGTCCAAACACCTTATTTTGTGTTTTTAAGCAATTTTTTTCTTATTCAGTGAGAGAAATCTAGTCTCTGCTGGGCTTTAACGAGTGCATCAAAGTCAGGTTGGATGTCTGAGGTGGAGAAGCGAAGCACAGCTGACAAATGATCATCAGTGAGAGAGGATCTTTACCTGGATTTTGTAAACTTAATCATTGAAAATGCTTGTTCACAAATGTAGGTAGAGCTGAAGAGAACCAACATCTTCTGAGCATGTCTCTTCAGGTTTGGAAAATCCTCCTTAAGAGAAGAGTAGAAATCCAGCAGAGATCCTGAATCTCTGCTTTCGAGTCCCAAACCCTCTTCAGCACTTTCCCCAGGCTGAGCCATCTGACAGCTGTGTGGAGTCCTCCAAAAGAGCCACAAACTGTCTGTGATTCATCGCCCGCGCCCTGATGAAGTTTATTATTTTAGTAACAACATCAGTAACATGGTTGATTTTTAGCACTGACTTGCACAACACATGTTGGTGTATAATTCAATGCAAAAACACCTATTTTTGATCTGCATCGATTTCTGTCACTTTATCTTGCATGCGTTTCAAAAGTCCGACATTTGTCCCTTATTAAGCCGGACGTACACTGTGCGACTTTTTCACTCGCAGCACTCAGCTTCAGCTCAAACTGTACGACTTCCCCGCAGAGCAGATCTCACGAGTCATGTGCTCACACTGTACGACCCAGTTCTCGCATGCGACCTGACTGCTCACACTGTACGTCTGGTAGCAACACGTCGGCCCTAAAAATGTGCTAAAAATAGCAGTTTTTACTCAACACGTTAAGCCGGGCGTACACTGTGCGACTTTTTCACTTTTTTGAGCCGATTTTCCAGTCGTGCGAGAAGCCACGACATCGGGGCGAGTTTTGCGCCGAGCGGTCGTGTAGTGTACAGGGGGTTACGAGAGGCGATTAACACCACGTGACCAGCCGCCGATCAGCAGTCGTGAGGTCGCAGGGACTTCTGGTGTGTTTAATATTTCGCTCGTCCCTCGTGAGGGTATCGCACTGTTGAAGCGGCGCTGCGAGCAGCTGCGAGCAGCTACGATCCAAAAAGTATCAGAACCGCGCATGCGCGCGCAATCCTGCATCAACGCCGGCCGGTCGCTCGCTATTTCGCTAATAACACACGCTGTTCGTTTTTGTTTCTACACGTTTTTTTACTCACAAAGATTGTCAAGAAAGCGTGTTTGTCGTGTTCATGTCAAATTAAACTGATCATAAAACACAGATTCACTTTCTTTATTTCGTTTTCCTCATCCAACTCCCATAAATCCCTGTGTGTCCTCCTGCAGCACTCCCGAAGGACAACAGGCAAGACAAAAAAGTCTGACGTGTTGTGTAAAAACTGCTATTTTTAGCACATTTTGGGGCCGACGTGTTGCTACCAGACGTACAGTGTGAGCAGTCAGGTCGCATGCGAGAATTGGGTCGTACAGTGTGAGCACACGACTCGTGAGATCTGCTCTGCGAGGAAGTCGTACAGTTTGAGCTGAAGCTGAACGCTGCGAGTGAAAAAGTCGCACAGTGTACGCCCGGCTTTAGACTTTTTTGTCTTGTTTTGCCTGTTGTCCTTCGGGAGTGCTGCTGGAGGACACACAGGGATTTATGGGGGTTGGATGAGGAAAACGAAATAAAGAAAGTAAATCTGTGTTTTGTGATCAGTTTAATTTGACATGAACACGACAAACACACTTTCTTGACAATCTTTGTGAGTAAAAAAAACGTGTAGAAACAAAAACGAACAGCGTGTGTTATTAGGGAAATAGCGAGCGACAAGCATTGATGCAGGATTGCGCGCGCATGCGCCGTGAGTGGTTCTGATACTTTTTGGGTCGCAGCTGCTCGCAGCGCCGCTTCAACAGTGCGATACCCTCACGAGGGACGAGCGAAATATTAAACACACCAGAGTGCGACCTCACGACTGCTGATCGGCGGCTGGTCACGTGGTGTTAATCGCCTCTCGTAACCCCCTGTACACTACACGACCGCTCGGCGCAAAACTCGCCCCGATGTCGTGGCTTCTCGCACGACTGGAAAATCGGCTCAAAAAAGTGAAAAAGTCGCACAGTGTACGCCCGGCTGTGACAGTCTCTCCCATTTCAATCCCAGAGTGTCCATGCACGCATTTACCTCTGTAAAAAGATCACTCCCTGTCGTTGTCCCTCTCATCGACCGCATTGCTGCCCGCTCCTCTGTGAGCTTGAAGTCCGTTATCCCCGGACAAATACGAGCAGCTGGGCTGTGTCGCGGACATCACAGCTCCCGTCTAATGAGAAAAAGTCAAAACTTGCCACTTCACGTTGCAGCTGAAGCTCCAGGTTCCCCGCAATGTCCTCGATCCTCCTGGTCACGGTTCGCTGTTTTTAGCTATTTTGTGGGATATCACAAAGCTGGTCCTGGTTGCTGCATCCCTGGATGTGTGAAGCTTAGTAAAAAAGCCTTGCTGCTTTTGCAACTTTGCTAGCAAAGCTTCGGATGTCCGTGCCCTCTCAGCATCAGACAAGTTCTTGTATTTTTCCGAGTGTTTCTTGTCGTAATGCCGACTCAAATTGTAGTCCTTAAACACGGCAATCTCCTCCCCGCAAACCAAACACACGGTTTTACCTCCGACTTCAGTAAAAAAAAAACTTAGCAGTCCAATTTTTGTTGAAAATCCTGCATTCGGCATCTTTCTTTTTTTTTTTTTTTTTTTTTGCATGAGCGGACATTTCTCAGGCTACAATCACCATGTCAACCGCGGGCACTTGTTGCTATACGTATTGCGTCATTGTGCACGTAAAAAACAACTTCAAAATAAAAGCAATGCAGCCTTAGCCCATGCATGAGGTAAAATGAGAAAATACATTTATTTTGTAATTTCCAATTAACCTTACGCGGGCCGGTCAAAGTCAACCAAAGGGCCGGATGTGGCCCGCGGGCCGTAAAATGCCCAGGTCTGTTCTAGGATGTACTGAGATTATCCCGACTTTGAATGTCAGATAGATGCATAGCCTGCTCACTGACTTATGCAGATACTGTACATGACTGTATGGAGACTCTCTAACTACAGGCAGCATCATAGAGCAGGGAGGTAAACAAGTCTTCATCACAGGGCTTTATTATGGGGTTGTGTTTGAGCATTTATCAGAACTCCTGGGCCAACTCCTGGGCCTCCTGTAAATAAAGGTTGTTCTATAATCGCTTTAACCCCCAGAAACCCAAATTTAGAAAACTGCAAAATCTTTTTTTAACCTTTCACATGTTGTCGTAGGAGGCCAGATAAACGGGCCTATTTACACATTTTAACAGCCTATAGTGTTGCAGAACTGAACAATAGGACCTATTAGCAATGTAAATGTGGTTTTAAAAAGAAAAAAAATGGGGAAGGTTTATTTTTGTAGACTTAAATCTGATGTTGTAATATTACAACCGTGGGTCTCTGGGGGTTAAAGGTTCAAAGCACCAGGAGCTTAAGTCCAGAGTTGCGTTTGTGTCATCTGATCAGAAACTCAGGTGTGTTGGAGTTTTTCTGTTAAAAGCAGTGGGACTAGGTCCAGGCCTCCACCAGCTCAGGGTTTGGCCTGAATGCTTCTTTTCATTCCAAGTTAATCGATTTGACAGAGACACAGGAAGCAGAAGCAGTTCCTCGTCATCATATCAGCTTTCAGCCAATCAGGTGGTTGGTACCAACTCTCAAATCAGACAGATTTTCATAGTCATCATCAGTTCTGCTATTTCTCGGGTTTTATCTGTTGGATCTCAGCGAGTTTCAGCTCCGACGTTAGAGCCGAGAGTCTCGGGTGAGAAAACTTCTGAGTTCATCCACTTTCTGCCTGTTTTCTTTGTTTGGCTTCTTGTTCTTTTAATTTTAGAAACTCAGAAAATATTTTCTGTTCGATTTATTAAATTTGAATTATCTTGACACATTTTATTTCATTTATGGGCAACAATGGCAGAGAAATTAAAAGCCTACCCTGTAACCTGAGGGTTGTAGGTTTGTACCCTGCAGTTATTGTGATCTTTGGGCAAGGCACATCACCTTTTGTTAGCTGGTGGTGGTCAGAGGGGCCAGTGGTACAGGTTGTGACTACACTGTAGCTCATCAGCATCAGCATGTGAACGTGTGTGTGGGTAAATATTTGTTGTGTGGTAAATGCCCTTGGGGGGCTTTAGAAGGCTGTTTACTTTTTAATTGTTTTTTTACGTGTTTTAAATTGGAATTCCTGAGTTGGAAACATTCAGTTATTTCTCCTGCTGTTGAAACATCAGAACTTTCTGGAAAAACAAGAGAAATCAACGTACAAGAACAAAAGTTTGAGATTCTTTCAGCTCCTTTAACGTTTGTGAAGAATCATAATCATAAAACTATAAATCATATTAGCTTAAACATTTTCAGGATTAAAAACAGCAAAAAGATTCAGATTAAAGAAGATAAAAATAAATCAGAGGTTTTCTGTTGTTTTTATTTAAAATCTCTTAAGTGTAAGAATTCAAATATAACAGACTTTTATTCAGATTTGCCTTTATTAGTTTAAGTTCTTTTATTCCTCCGGGGGCGTGGCCCCCCATCATCCTGTTTGATGTTTATACTTTATGTCACCATAACTAACTATCTGAACAAACTAAATCAGATTTACTGTGTGTGTGTGTGTGTGTGTGGGGGGGGGGGGGATCTCTGCAGCATACCCTGTCCAAGGACCTGTCCCTGCAGCAGGACCATCCATGCTGGTGGTCCCATCCCTGCAGCATATCCTGTCCTAGCAGGACCCGTCCCTGCAGCAAGATGAAGCTGCTGTCAGTTGGCAGAGAAAAGCTGATTTTCATGCCGTCTGAAGCTGAACAGCCTCCAGCTTTGTGAACAATCAGCAGCTGACTTTCTCATGCTAAACCTCAAAGTTCATCTCTGTCCTGTTATCCATTTTGTCTTTTTAGATTTGGTGAGAAAGAAATGGACACTCATCCAGACCAGAAGGTGAGTTCAGAGACAAGTCTTTATTAGGAAATCAAAAATAAATCTGATTTTAAAACCCTGAAGGCTCATAAAAACCAGAAAATGGATGATAGTTAACTGGTTTGTAGATGTTATGGTTCTGAGGGTTTTGGTGGACCCACTGCTGTGACACCTCTCCTCCCTTCCTGTGTTTCAGACCAATGTTCTACTCAAAATTTCCCATCTGCCTCTGGTTCAATCGGCGCTCCATTCAGTCACATCAGCGTACTCCGTGGTCAAAGATCGCTTCCCTCTGCTGGGTCTGATGGGAGCAGCAGCAGAGGTTGGAGTCCGTGGTCTCTCAGAGGAGGCCTTGAGACGAGCCGCGCCCTTCCTCCAGAATCTGGAACCACAGAGTGCGTAGAACTTGACTCTGGTCCTGGACTTTCCATCACATCTTCAGTTTCTGATCTGATCTTGTTTCCTGCAGTTGAAGTCGCCAACAGCTTAGCTCTGGATGGTCTGGACCATCTGGAGAGAAGCTTTCCCATCTTAAACCAGTCCACAGAAGAGGTCGGTTCTGCTCTCACCACCTTGTGTTAAAGTCTTCTGGGTTAACACCTTCCAGGGTTTCCTTGATCCTTAAAAAAGTTCTCTTTGAAGGTTCAGTTGTAGGAAACTGGACTTCATCCTTCCCTAATAACTTTGGTTTGAGCCCACTGGAATAATCATGGACCAGATCACTGAAAACCTTCACCAGGGAGCATAATCCCATTGAAACCAATTCATTTTTTGAGTTATGCTTAAACGTGGTCTCAAGCTTTAAACTCTGCTGACGTGCAGAAAGAGTTCTTCTCGGGAAGGTCTGATGGACAACACTCTGGCTCTTTGTTTGTCAGAGATTCTTCTGGAATAAAACCAGAATATCTGAGCAGGAAGTAGATAAATGTTGTATGAGATATAAAGCTGCAGGAGACCAACAGGACGTGAGATCATCAAGGACAACATGTGATTAACTTGCTTAGCTTGATGACCTGCTGAACGGGTTGTTGTAGGCAGAAACAACCAGGACAAGCTGGACCATGGTCCTGGAAGACCAGGGTTGAGCACTTCACAAATGTCACTGCTGATCTTGTGTTGTTTCCTCAGGTGATGACTCACCTGAAGGATGCCTTCTTCTTGACACTGGACGATGTGCAAATCCGTGTGGTGGAAGGCCTGGACGGTGTTGTAGATCAGCTGGAACATCTGGCTGAGATGGTTTGGACATCTGTGCAGCAGCTGCAGAACACTCAGGTGGGCCAGGCTGCCTCATATGGACTGGACAACGCTCTGAGCCGCCTGGAGGACGCCACTGCCTACTACCTCCCCCTCCCACCGACACTGCGTGAGTATTGAGATCTGTAAACTTAAATTTTTGATGAACAGAACCAGCCTCTCAGACCAAGTCCAGTCTCAGTTCAGCTCCTACAGACCTCTGGTTTCTGAGCCATGTAAAAATATTTATGTGAATCTTTGAGGATTTTTAAGAAAACCAAAGACAAAATTGCTGACCAAACTACGCATGGATAGCTCAAAGGGTCTGCCCCAAACCATGTAGACCTACGGAGGGCCAAAAGTGCCCCCAATAAAATAAATAAATAAATAACTAAATGCATTTTAAATGTTTAAAAAATTATTGAAATCTAAAATAAATACAAGCAAGTAATTAAACACATATTTATTTTATAAAATGTCAAAAATAAAATAATTTTACTTCATTTCTAAAACATTACGTATAAATATTTATTTAGTCATTTTGTGGTGTGTGTTTCATAAAATTATTTAATATTTTGATATTTCTTTTTTTTTTTTCTTTTCTTTGAACCTACCCACTCAGTGGGTGGGGCTGATGCACATTGATTGCTCTGGTCTGAATGGATGTATTTTCAAATGGCTCGCTTTCTCGATAATTCCGAACGGGACATTTTACACCCACCTGATAAAACACCCAGACTCTGACTGTGTGATTTATACACTCATGTACTCCAGAACTTCCACATCACAGGGTGTTCTGTAGCAATGTGTGTCCCACTAAAACTGTGTCCTCACCTGTCTAATTCACACATGGTTTTCATTCTTGTCATAACAATTAAACATCAGAAATCAGAGTTAAAATGAAGTAAGAATTTTAAATCTGTTTTATTTTAGCTGGTTCTGTCCATCAGGTCGGGAGTGGGAGATGCGGGTCCAGGAGTATGAGGAGGAAGATGATGATGATGAAGAGCCCAGCCTCTGGACCAGAGTCCGCAGCCTCCTGCTGACTTTAAGCTTGCAGCTTTATCACCGCATGTCAAAGGTCAGAGGTCACCTGGAGGGAGCAGTCAGGTCACTGGGAGTGGCTGCCGACCGGGTGAGTCCATACGAAACTCGGCTCTGTAGTTTCTGCTGTCACAGATTCATCCAGACCCTAACCTGAACCAGAACAAACAGCTGATTTCACCTCCCGCAGGCTCTGATATTTTATGGTATTAATGCATCCGAAACAGTTTATCATCACATTCTCATGATGCCAAAATGCTTTTTTTGGAGAAAAGCGCAACACCCTGCTTCGTGTGGCGGGTCAGGAATGTGAACACACACCTCAGCCTCACGAAGAGCTAATAAATACAGGTTCTTGTTTCTGCTCATAGAATCAAAAACAATTAAATAACAAGCTGGCAGGTAACAAGAATATGCTGTAAACTGGAGTAAATAGATGCAGATTCACTGTGGAAGGAGAGGGAAAAGCTGAAAGAAAACACATAAGATTTTACAAAAGTTATAGACTCAAAGTTAAAATAAGTTATATTTTTCTCTCTGGGGCTGCATGGCTGTCAGTTGGTAGGTCTGCTGCCTTGCAGCAAGAAGGTCGTCGGTTCAAATCTCAGTTGCACCCTTTCTGTGTGGAGTTAGTCTGGTCTCCATATGCATGGATAGGGTAAACATGTTCTCATTTGCATGGCTTTTTGCTGGTCTCCTCACACAGACTAAAATCATACATATCAGGTTAACTGAAGACTGAAAATTGTCCTTAGGCGTAGGTGAGTGTGTTGTCTTTCTCTCCTTGTGATGGACTGGAGACCTTTCTAGGTGTCCCTTGCCTCTCACCTGGTGACTAATGGAGAAAACCCCCAGCTTCCTGAGACACTAGAATGAAGAGTTTTTGAATATTTTGCTATTCCACTGGAGGGAGCTCATGTCCCATCAGTGCTGTGGGTCAGGAGAGAGCAGCGCTGGCGCTCCGCACACGCACACCACGCACAGCGCATAGGGCACCACACCGGGGGAGGGGCACCAAAGGCAAGCTTATGAAAAAATAATATATATATATGATAAAGACAGATTTCAATTAGAAGATGTGCAAAGCAAGTTAACAGCATGTTTACAGAGAGAAAACAATACAAAAAGTAAAGGAGATGGACCGTGTCCACTTTTCACTCTCTGTCCGGCGTCCGGATTGGGGTTCTTGTATTGATGAAAATGTCCGGCTTTTCATCCAGGAGCAGGGATCGAATTATGGGGGAGCTGTATATCCTACACATCCAGGGGAGCCGGAAAAAAGTTTTCTACCTATATTACATCATTTATGGACTCTTGAGCAGAGAGCATAGACAGCTGCACAGCGCTGATCGTTGTTGCACAGCGCTCCAGGCTGCTGCTTCCAGCGCTCCAGGCAGCTGCGTCCAGCGCACGGTCCATTCTCAAAGTGGCTCAACCAAAAAACTATAATTAACACACGATCGTTCATGTCCGCACATGTTCTCTACTTTCTGTCTTATTTGTGCCTGAAGCGCTCTGCCACTGCAAAGCTCATCACCTGTGCTGTGGTGATTTCACCTCACTGACGCAGCATCGAAACGCGCTCTGCGCTTTGTGGTCAGGAGATCCCTTTGATCTGCTCAGAAGTAACTGATGAGGTGAAAAAGTAAGAATCCAGGCAGCAGTTTTTCTGGAGAGTTTAGAGGAGATGCAGGAAGAAGAGAGACAGACAGAACAGGAAATAAAAACAAGAAAACAAAACAAAGTGTTGAAAAGTGAAATGTAGGTAGATTTATCTCCACTACACGTTTTTACCTGTATAAAACAATAAGTTACAAGTAATGAAAAAGGGCACTTTTGGCGTCAGGGGTCTGACGTGGAGGGTGGCTGACCAAGCGTTTGTTTGTTTGCTTAACTATGGACATGATTTATATCATTATTAAATATCCTATGTGGCCTATAGGCTATGTAACTGAGATTTAATATGAAAAATTAGACAAACCTATTTTCAAATTAGGTATTTGCTCTATGATTTATATTTCATAAACATTTACGGGCCAAGAGGAACATCTGCTGCTGATGGTATAATTTGAAGAAAAATGTCCATTATGCTAACCTCCTCCCTTCATACTCAGAATTTTCTAGTTGTGTATAAAATGTGTATATTGTGCCTCTTTAATTCTTAATAAAGGTTAAATAGTTTTGAATTTAGTCATGTCACATGCCAGTGATTTATAAGCCAATATAAACTTATAAATAATCTATTGCAGTATTTTTTACCATGGTATAAAACTATTATCTTATTATAGAATGAATATGACAAATTACCTTTTTGTGTTTGAATGCAGGCTCAATGAACAAGTACATTCAAGGAGGAGAAGGGTTATCATTGGAGAAACACATGTGCCACAACCGGTGCTTGTGGTGTGTGGATCTGTTACATAGTTCTAAATAATAACAGTATGGAGTTCCTGTGTTGAGTATGTTATATTATGTAAATATCCATCCTACCTTTTGGAAATAATAAGCAGTTTGTGCATACAAGAGAATTAAAGAGAACTTAAGGCGAAGCACTTGCACATACTGCGTTATTGTGTTGTTTTTTCTACGGGGGGGGGCACCACAAAGCCTTTGTGCTTAGGGCACCAAAATAGCTAGCAACGGCTCTAGGAGAGAGAGAGAGAGAGAGAGAGAGAGAGAGAGAGAGAGAGAGAGAGAGAGAGAGAGAGAGTTGATGAAGACTTGAGAACAGGAAATAAGTTTTAAATTATTTATTTTCAACATCAAATAAAATCAATTTGAACCAGGTGTTTGGATGATCTGGACGTGGAACAGACCCGACACAGTAATCTGACCATCAGTTGATAAAAATGTGTCAAACAGAAAGCAGAAGGAACCTCGTCGATGTAATCAGACGTGATGTCTGGTTCCCTCCAGCTGGACCTTCTGTGGTTCTGATAAAATCTGATGTTATACAGAAACATCTAGGACAGCCAAGCAGACGTGGAGACAGCTGCTCCCGCTGGACCAGCTGCTTCTTCTGTCTCTGTGAGGTCCAAACAGACCTCCAGGCCTCAACAGAGGGTTTCACTCAGAACCTGGAGGCCCGTCTGATGTCCCAGGTTCTGATTTAGAGTTCAGGGTCAAATCATCTGTGTGTGTGTGTGTGTGTGTGTGTGTGTGTGTGTGTGTGTGTGTGTGTGTGTGTGTGTGTGTGTGTGTGTGTGTGTGTGTGTGTGTGTGTGTGTGTGTGTGTGTGAGAGAGAGAGCGTTTGCGTGTTTGTGCATGCATGAGCGTTTGTGTGTGCGTGCGTGCATGAGCGTGTGTGTGTGCATGCGTGCGTGAGCGTGTGTGTGCATGCGTGCGTGAGCGTGTGTGTGCATGCGTGAGCGTGTGTGTGTGTGTGTGTGTGTGCGTGTGTGCATGGGCGTGTGTGTGTGTGCGTGCGTGCGTGCATGAACATGTGTGCATGAGCGTTTGTGTGTACGTGCATGCATGAGTGTTTGTGTGTGTGTTTAAATGGACTCGTCGTCATCTTGTCGGGTTGATTTTAAAGTCACATCCTAAACATGAAACATCTAAAAATAATGGAGCCGTTGGGTGTGAATTCGAGCTCTGGGAATGAAAACATTTTCGTTATACTGTTGGATGAGAACATTCTGGACGTAAACACAAACAGATGACTATCAGCATGGTCGGAGCAGCTGCCGTTCTTTTTTTCACGTACACTTAATATTCTCATCCTCTCGGGCGACTCGGGATGATTCCAGCAGGAAAAGCAGCTCCTTTCCAGATAACCAGAGCTGTTTCCTCTACAGACGGATCTAATTGGAGTTAGACTCTGCCTACGTGCTGCTCGGAGCGTCGGAGCCGATGGAGTGATAAAAACCAGCCCAGAGCTCTGATCCAAGCGTTAGTCTGTCAGCAGACCACATGTTCCTTAGTTCTGCCCACAAACCAACAGTTTAACTGAAACCAAAGTCAGAACTATCTGGACTCAGAAATGGTCCAGTAGATAACAAAGATGTCATCACTCCAGATTTTATTAGAAAGATCTGATCAGGTTCTACAGATCGATGATCTCGCATCAACCAACATTAAACCAAAATCCACAAATCAAAAGGAAGACTTTTTATTCTGAGTCTCGTATCAGTCAGTCAAACTTGAGAGCCGAATGTCCTCTCTGTGCTGCCCAGCATGTGGAGCTCCACTGGTATTTACTACCACCAGAATGGGCAGGTTCGAGACCATCACCCTGTGGTCTCCCCAGAGGAGAGAAGACTAAACATTGAGGACAGTCCTGAGTTGCTTCAAAGACATTTAATCTGACTGAAATAGTCTCCCAACTGAAATCGGAACATTTCCAGTTGTTCTTTTATGTTTCTGAGGGTGCTCATCTTCTTAACTTCCATTGGAGATAAAAACACAGCTGCTTGTAAACAGCTCAGTAGGGTAAGCTCAGTCTTCACAGGCCTCAGCCTGCAGGTCAAAGGTCAGGACAGGACAACTGGGGAAGGACCGAACTTGGCTAGGTCTAAAACGAGCACAGCTGGCATTGGGTCTGCTCCAGTAAAAGCAGAAGAAGAGGGACTAAACAGAGAAGTGGCTCAGAAACCAACTGATGATGTGCTGGTGAAGGTTCTCAGTCATCCTGGTCATGGTAATCCAAAAGGGTTTGAATGAAGGCAACTGGACTTCTTTGGTTTCTTGAAGACGTTTCGCTTCTCATCCGAGGAGCTTAGTCAGGTCTGACTGGAATATGGGAGAGTCAAGCTTGGAAGCTGTTGCTGTCTGTTGTTGCTGAACAAGCTGAAACTACCTATGAATACCCCTCCTCGCTATCACCTTAGAAGTTGTTGATGTTATTAGACCCTATCGTGGGGTGATGGTGGCAAAGGAGTTAAGTGCTTGTCCCGTAATCGGAAGGTTGCAACAAGTTTGAGCCCTGCTCAGCTTCTGGCTGAGGGTGATTTGGGGTTTAAAGTGACAGTGTGTATTTTTCTTGGATATTGGGGGCAGTAGATACCTAAATTGTTGCAAGCAAGCAGTATTTTTGTGTTGAAGTAAGACCTTACCAATGGATGGCCATTAGGGTCAAAAATTCAATTCAA